CGGCGTTGACCGTTGCCTTCCGGCAAAAAAATCGTTGGCTTTCGGCGTTGACCGTTGACTTCCGGCGTTGACTTTGGCGTTGACCGTTGACTTCCGGCGTTGACTGTTGACCCCTAGTCTACATTTTTTATGAAGTAAATATGCATACAGACTACAGTACTATGCACTTAGTATGAACTAAATATGCATAAGAAATGAGTTATATATGTCATCCTTATGAACTAAATATGCAGCAATAATATCAACTATGTATGCACTGTTTATGTACTAAATATGCACATTTTACTAACTAAATATGCATCAGGAATGAACTAAATATGCAACGAAAATATGCAATAAAATATACATCTTATACAATTAAATTAAATATAATAATTAATGATTTTTTATTATATAATTAAGTTTAATTTTAAATTGATTAATAACACAAATACATTATTATGATTGGTCTCAAAATAAAATATGTATGCACTGTTCATGAACTAAATATGCATTTCGTAAGAACTAAATATGTATCATGAATAAACTAAATAATATGCATCATAAATTAACTATATAAATATCATTATATATTTAATTTAAATATAACAAGTATGCATTTTGTATTAACTAAACATGCATCAGAAATTATCTAAATATTCACAATAAATTAACTAAATATGCATCATAAATTAACTATATAAAATGTACATTTTATTGCATATTTTTTCGCTGCATATTTAGTTCATTCATGATGCATATTTAGTTCATAACAGATGCATATTTAGTTAATAACACAAATAATTTTTATTATATATTTAATTTTAATTTTAAATTGATTAATTACACAAATAAATTGTTATGATTGGATCTCAAATAAAATAGGTATGCACTGTTCATGAACTAAATATGCATTTCGTAAGAACTAAAATATGTGTCATGAATTAAGTAAATATGCATAATAATTAATTATATAAATATTATTACATATTTAATTTAAATATAACAAATATGCATTTCGTAATAACTAAATATGCATCATAAATTACCTAAATATTCATAAAAAATTAACTAAATATGCATCATAAATTTTCTAAATGAAATGCACATTTTATTGCATATTTTTCGCTGCATATTTAGTTCATTCATGATGCATATTTAGTTCATAACAGATGCGTATTTAGTTCATAACAGGTGCATACTTAATTGATATTATTGGTGCATATTTAGTTCATAAGAACTGCATGTGCAATTCATATTCCATGCATATTTAGTTCATATTGAATGCATGGTACTAGATGCATATTTACTTCATACATATAATGCATACTAGGGGTCAACGAGTCAACGCCGGAAGTCAACGGTCAACGTCGGAGCCAACGCCGGAAGTCAACGGTCAACGGCGAAAGTTAACGATTTTTCGCCGGAAGTCAACGGTCAACACCGGAAGTCAACGGTCAACGCCGGAGTCAACTAATAATTATTTTATTATTTAATTAATATATATTTTAAGGAATGGACTCATTTTAAGGAGTAGACTCATTTTAAGGAGTGGACTCATTGGATCCTCCCCCTATATATATATATATATATTAATCGATATAAAAGTTAGTTACCTATCATTCACAAAAAGAATCTTATTATGATATTCATATGAGATTTTTAAGCATACGTTTGACAGGTTTGTGAAATCATATTCTACTTCTTGAGTTTATACTTATACTATTATATATAAATTATATATAATGTGTATATATACCCTATTATATACATAGTTATATATATATAAAATGTAATAATTTATATATATTTATTTGGATTTCGTGTATTCTAATTAAAATAAAGAAATAGATATAGATATAGTTAAAATATTTTTATATTTATAGATGAAAATGATGAAACATATAAAGAACAATAAATTTTGAAGCTGATAGTGAACTCATCTTCATGTTAATTTTGCAAATTGATTATATAATAAATGTGAAATAATCTCTACTAAACTAATATTAAGCATGATATACAATTTGCTATTTATTAATATGATTTTTGGGATTGTCTTTTAATAAAAAAATTATGGAAAGGGGATAAAATTCGGATGATATAGGATTTTGGGTATTTCATTCGAATTAAAATATTAATATGTTAAAAAGCCTTTTTGGTTGCGTGAAACGAAAAAAAAAATTAGTTGATGAATTGATTTACATGAGAGTCTTACTTTTATGAATCTCCCAGTATTATTATTATTATATTATTTAATTAGTTGATTAATTGATTTATCTTAATCTTTTTTTTTTTTTGGCAAACTCCTTAATAAATGTATGATATGCAACCTTCAGAAGAGGAGATTTATATGCAGTCACAAAAAAAAAAAAAAGAGATTTATTAGGATTTTGATTCCATATTTTTGATTGTATTCTTAAAAAAAAAAATCGAAAAAACAGATATGCTAATAAAAAGCGATTTTGTTAATTTACTATTTTTAGACAATAATTAATGAAATTGGCGGGAAACTTTTTCTAAAAGTGAATTATGTTAATCCTTATTATATATTAATAGATTAACATATATGTTGCTTTTACGTAAATATTAATATATGTATTATTTCTAACAATTATTAGAAATATAGTTGATTCTTAAAAAGAATCTTTAACTGACAATTATTAATTAAATATTTTATATTGTATTTTAATTTTTTTTTAAAAATACGTATCGTAAGTGTATTTTTAAAATTAAGTGTATTAAGTATGGTAAGTGTATTTCTTAGATATATTTTGATTTTGATTCCATATTTTGATTGTATTCCTAAAAAAAAATGGATAAAAAAGATATGTTAATAAATAAAGATTTTGTTAATTTACTATTTTTAGGCAATAATTAATGAAATTGACGGGAAATTGTTTCTAAAAGTGAATTATGTTAATTCTTATTACATTTTAATAGATTTTGGTTAATTTGTTGACATATGATGTGGCAAAAACATGGTGAAAAGTTTCAAAGATTGATGTCACACAAGCTTCGTAAATACCATGTAAGATTTTTGATCGGACACATCACAAGGATTGGCCAGAAAATGATTTTGAGATAAATTTGCAACACGTAATAAAAAATTAGTATTTATTTACAAAGATAAAAATGTTAAGTTTTATTTGCAATTACACAAAAAGTGGGAATTTTAGGTGCAAGTCAAACCCCAACAACATACTCTTATTTTAGTAAGATTTACCCAACAGACCCTTATTTGTGTCGGCTCATTTTCATACGTAGCCTTTTCATCAATCGCCATTTAGTGCCTATAAATCCGTAATCAAGGCAAAATACATTATGTTTTGTATCCTAATTTAAAATATGGTATTTTATTGTTATTATTTTATGTTTCATATACTAAAGATAATTTTTAAGGTTTTTAAAGAAAACATTAGGGGCTAATGACACTTTGAGAAAAGGTACCATTTGTATTTTAACATAATTTCTAACAAAAATTTGAATAGATATTCCAATGTTATTACTCCAATTGGAAAATTTCAGTGGATTCCCATGAAAATTTTATGTCAGAATTTCGATATTTTATGATTTTTAAAAGAAATGTTTTTTTTTTTGAAATTTTTATATTCCAACAAATATTTCTAAACTAATAATCTTTTTGAAGATGACTGTTGAAATAATAAAAAAATCAACTAAAATTTGAAAAAAAAAAAATCATTTCAGTGGAAGTTTTAGTGTTTGATGTGTCAGGACCTAGATTTGGGTTGAGCCGACTGAGAAAGACCTTCAGTCGTCGGAGAATAACTAATTAACTACAAAACAAAGGGCTAGGAGTAATTCCCACATGAGCACTCTAACGTTCAAATCAGTAAGGAGAAGATAATGATAATGTGTAATATATATGAGAATTATAAGAAGGTGTAAAGAGTGTAGAGACTATCGCAATTGTATCTTATCCCCCCTTTAACTGGGAAATACCTTTGTTCCAAGATTAGCTTCCCGGGTTTCCCAATGCCCTTGGTCAGTCTACCCGAAGTTGCCGACTGCTCAAGATTTAATCCTTCTCATCGTATTGTTTATCCTTATCTTGATTCCATCTTTATCATCATTAGATTCCTTCTTATTCTGTTTACGTCTGCCTTAACCTAGGTCTCTTAGTGTTCTCATGTCCTTCACTCATTAGGCCGGCCTGTTAAATATCCATAAGTTATGACTCCTCTTCTCAGGTCCTTCTATAGAGTTGTAGTAGGCTTAATGTGTTTAGGTCCGATATTCTCCATTAGGTCGTCTATTATAAGGAAGGCTCATGACTTGTTGAGTTGTCATCTTTTCCCTTCTGGTTCATTCCAAGTCCATCACTTATTTAAGTCGTCGCCATAGTTCAGTCGACTTGTACCAACTTCACTCATACATTTAGTCCTGATAAGTCGACCAGGCCCATTCCTGAACCGGTTGACCTGCTTTACTTTGCGTTAATTTAGTTTAGGCGAGCTATGGCTATTGATCTTCGTTATACTAGAATGTTCCGCAATTTTTTTCTTATTGGTAATTATCACGGATTAGACAGTTCTCTTTATATTGCTTGCTCATGTCTATACTTGGTTTCTTTCTTTCACCGTTGTTACCCTGCACAAATATTCACCATATCGTATCTACAACATATACTAGCTTCATATCCATGGGAAGAAACTTTGTCAAAGAGAGAGAGAAAATATAAAGATCAGGAAGAGGTTACAAAAAACACTGAAGAAACAAAAGCAGCCTAATTAATCAACCAGACACAACACATCCAAATGCATCTTTTAGTACCCCTAAACATCAAGTGGACAAAAGCTTGGATATAGAATGAATTTCATCAAAGAACGAACACACGCAAACAGGCCGAATTAACTCTCGCTGCCCACATGCTGCCACACAGAAAGAAACCCGTACACATCAATTTCGTAGAGATAAAAGACATCATATCAAATCTTGTCTGGCAGCTGAATGCTCTGTGAACCGCATATCCGGTGAGACGAATTCTCCACAAATACGGCGAGCCCACATTTGGCCGCATTGAAACCCTCCCACAACGAGAAATTCACGGTCCCCGATACTGTTTTCTTGGCGGATGAGTCCTTCACGGAGCATAGCTTCTCAAGGCGCCGGACAACATAGTCGTTGGCCAAAATCCGACCTTTGTTAGCTCCTTCTTGGCAGTTGGTGACCAGACCCGATTCGTATAGTGCCACCATCACGTTAGCACCCGAGTGGTCCACTTTTGCCCTCAGAGGCCCCGTCAATGATACTTGAAGCGAATCCGGTGACGCCATTTGGAAAGTTGCCTGTCGAAAGTAAGAACGTTGTAAATGTATTCGGATGATAAATAAGATAATGTGTCGATTGATATACGAGATGATTGGTAAATTGAAGTTGATATTAATTTTCGAGCATTGCTTGGAGAACAATCAACAATATGTTAGTTAATTCTCGACTTTGCGACCAACAATCTACCGGTTGTCCTTCCTTTGAAACAACAACCAACTAGTTCAATTTGGTCAACATATATAGAATTTAGTTGGCTGATTGTTGCTATTTGGTAATAGACTGAAACATAATCGAAAATTCCGACGAACGTTTCATAGCAAAACCGAACATGGTCAGCGATTTTCCATCTTCCCACATTATTCTTGAAAATCAATTATTCTCATCAGCTGAAAGATTAATGTGGGTTGTATATTTATTTCTTGATATATAGCATTTTAATTTATAACATATTAACTTACATTTAAAAAAAAAATAAAAATGTGGGATCTAAATATTATTAAATAAAACCCACATAAAATTTCCTGCATTATCCTGCTGCAAATTTCGTAAAACTACTCCAATGAATCAATATTTTAGCAAAATACGTTAACCAAAAGAAAAAATTAATCAAAATGGTGATGACCTGGAAGGCGGGCCCAGGGAGGGTGGGGGCGGAGACGATGGAGGAGAGCATAGACTCCTCCTGATTGGCGAGGCAGTGGGCCTGGCCTTGGACCACCAGTTGGGGCGTGAACATGGTGTCGAGGTTGAGGGCCTCCACGTAGGCCTTCTGGCGGACGGTCCACTGGGTGGAGGCGAATGGGTCCTTCCAGCCCATATAATCCCAATAGTCGACGTGGTAAGCCAGCAGGAGCAAGGGCACGCCCAGGTTGAAGTCGCCCCTGCCCAGCCGGGAGAAGAGCAGCTCCGCCTCCGGAGAGGTGGCGCAGCCCTGGGACGAGAAGAGCTCAACCAACACCGGCCCGCCCCTCCGCTGCTGCTCCTCCCCCGACAGATCCGCCGCCGCGGCCTTGCTGTGGCTCTCGGGATCGGAGGAGCGCCTGCCGAAACAGCTCAACAGACGGGGCGCCATATCTGAACGACGGAGAGAGAAATATGGAGAATTTGATGATAAAGAAAGAATATTGAGAAATAGAGAGAGGAAGAGCCAGTGAGAGAAAAGTGGAGATGGGTGCCGTGAGAATCGCTCACCTGTTACGTCTTCTTCTGTTCATTATTATTATATTACCATATGAATAAAAAGTTTCATTTATTAATATGATTGTCATTCTAGTTGAACCTTAAGAGCAATAGTTCACCACCAATATGCAAATATTATTTTATGGTGTTCTCTAAATAAATAAAGGCTAAATTGCAAAATATTGTCAATATTTTATACGAAGTGTCAATAAAAATCACTATTATTACGAATTTGCAATAGTAGTCAACAATTCTTTAAATTTTGGGTTATTATCCAAATTCGACCAAATTTAACGGCTAAATTGCAAAATATAACCAATATTCTTTTACACTGTGACAATAATAACCATCGAATTTGGTCGCACATAGATAATAATCTCGAAATTTTAAATTTTATTGGCTACTATTGTCAATTCATAAATATGGTGGCTATTATTGCCACTACATACAAGATATTGATTATATTTTGTAATTAAACCATAAATAAAAGTGTTATCTAAATAATAATTAAGTACATTATTCCAAATCAGATAATTATGAATAAAACAAATAAAATAACTAACAAAATCTCTTGAATTTATATGCGTTTTTTTTTTTTTTTGTAATTAATCATTTCTAAGGTTCAAATAAAAATATTCACCAATTTTCTTATTGAAGATTCATCACATGTTCGTTCATTTTGTGTCTCAAAATTCTTTGGTAACAAAAAACCATGAGCACCACCCAATAGTCTGTATTTTTTTCTCATATATTATCTCATTACTTGTTTCATGATACAATATAAATTTTATTTACATGATACAAAATTGTATTGACGAGAGGTTGTGGTAGTTGGTTTAGTTGACAGGTAAATTAGGTGGGTGGAGTTTGGCACCGAGGAGGAGTCGGTCGCACGTTGTTGTTGGTTATGGTTGAGTTACAATCAGATATGTCAAAACGGGTTGGGGGTGGGCAGAGCGATGGCTCGACCGGCTCAATCCCACTGTGGACTAGGCGAGCATGGCCCACTGAAATTGACCAAAAAAAATAGTAGGATTGTCTGGGCCATTGGGTTGATGAAAAAAAAAAAAGCCAACTGTAAATCTGCAAGTCACGAACGAAGAAGAATACCCTGACCTGGAGTACCCTTCAAATAACTAACTACCCGAAGAGCAGCATCCCAGTGGGCCTGACGAACTACTCGACGCAAGTTGCCATTCGGAATCCGCATGCTCCAACTCGACCGGCTCAATCCCACTGTGGACTAGCCACCTATTGTTTGGGCTTAGAGCATGAAAAATTAAGTTCAACCCATGGGAAAAAGACATATATACACATATATTAGCTTCATCCGTACGTCCATCTACGCGAGGAGAATAAATCCCTTAGGCCTACTTAATTAAAAAAAAATGCCCTTCCAGCTTATTATCCGACTGTATTCTGACAGAATATGTGAAACTCAATTTGTTTTTCCAAAAACCTTCTTCCACCCAGATTGACAATGGCCGAATATAAAGGTACAAAGGAAGCCCTAAACCAATCTATACCAAATCTCCATGTACTAAAATATATCTATACCAAAAATACAATATTCACAAAATCACTCTAACACCCCCCCTCAAGTTGGAGCATGCGGATTCCGAATGCCCAACTTGCCAAGAAAAAAATCAAACTCGCGTTTTCCCAAGGCTTTGGTGAAGATGTCCGCCAATTGAGAATGAGTAGAAACATGAGTGGTAGAAATGAGACCTTGAACAAGAGCATCACGAAGAAAATGGCAATCGACTTCAATATGCTTCGTGCGCTCATGAAATACAGGGTTAGCAGCAATGTGCAGAGCTGCTTGGTTGTCACAATGAATCCGCATGGGCTGAGAATGAGCGACGCCAAGGCTGTGAAGAAAACCCTTCAACCACTTCAACTCACAAGTAAGGGTCGCCATAGCTCGATACTCGGCCTCGGCAGAAGACCGGGCTACAGTGTGTTGTTTCTTGGTGCGCCAAGAAAGAGGTGAATGGCCAAGCTGTACTAACCAGCCCGAGAGAGACCGACGTGTTGTGGGACAAGTCGCCCAGTCAGAGTCACACCAACCGTAAATCTGCAAGTCACAATCTGAACGAAGAAGAATACCCTGACCTGGAGTACCCTTCAAATAACGAACTACCCGAAGAGCAGCATCCCAGTGGGCCTGACGAGGTTGCTGCATGAACTGAGACAAAGTATGAACCGCATAAGACAAGTCAGGACGAGTGACTGTCAAATAGATCAATCGCCCAATGAGACGTCGATAACGCTCGAGGTTAGAAAAGAGAGGATCGTCTGCTAATGGAAGCTGGTGATTCTGTTCCATGGGAAAGTCCGCTGGTTTTCTGCCAAGTAGACCAATCTCGGTCACAATGTCAAGAGTGTACTTCCGCTGGCACAAGAAAATACCCAAAGAATTCCTAGCAACCTCAATACCAAGAAAATATTTCAACAAACCCAAATCCTTCATATGGAAACAACGACCCAAATAATCCTTAAAGGCAGTAATAGCGACTGGATCACTGCCAGAAATGATCAGATCATCAACGTAAACCAGAACATGTAAACTCAACGAGTCACGATGAAAAACAAACAGTGAGTAATCAGAATAAGACTGCTGAAAACCATATTGACGTAGAGCAGAAGCAAGCTTCGCAAACCAACACCGAGGAGCTTGCTTCAAACCATACAGAGATCGACGTAATCGACATACCTTACCAGGATCAGGCGAATGAAAACCAGGAGGAAGTTTCATGTAGACCTCCTCAGATAAATCTCCATGCAAGAAAGCGTTGTGCATGTCCATCTGATGAACCTCCCAATGTCGAGCAGCTGCAACAGCAAGAAAAGTTCGTACAGTCACCATCTTGGCGACAGGTGCAAATGCCTCCATATAGTCAATGCCCTCCACCTGTTGGTTACCCAAGACGACCAAACGCACCTTGTAGTGCTCAACAGAACCATCAGAGTTATATTTAATCTTGTAAATCCACTTGCAACCGATC